TGGCAGCGTACCGCGGCGCGGGAGTGGCGTAGCGGCGTTCCCACGAGGTGGCAGCACAGCCGAGAAGTCGGTCGGCCGGTGCTGCAGGGCTGGGCACCTTCTGCGTACCCCCGTCCTTCACGGGGACAGGCGTGGGCTCCGGGCAAGCGAACTCTCCTTGTTTTCCTATTCCAGCACCTGTCTGAGTTTGTTTGCTTCTTCTTTGTTTTTAACGAAACAATAGGGAAAGCATTTGTTCCTTCATAAAGTCCGTAGGAAGGACAGATGTCCTTTATAAATGATCCTAGATGAATGCTTGTGTGTGAGATTTTGGCAGCTGGGCGATCACCAGTGGCACTGGGACTCCTGCAGATGCCTTACCTTTCCCACATGCTCTACTTTTTCTCTCAGACCAAGAGTTCCTGCTGCTTACAAGGCCTAGTAACTGGCCAAAGCTTCTATGAGGGACAGGGAGGCTGATTAAGACTGCTAAAGCAAAGACAGCTAAGAAACTGCTTGTGCTTAAGTAAAGAAATCAACACATAACTAGAGTGATTTGTCCTAGAAAGTTTATAAGGAAAACAATGTTTTTCCAGTATGAACCAGATACTTGGCATCCAGAGGCTTGCCATGCTGCCTGTACCTAAGGAACTATGTCTATAGTATCCTGCAAGTCATAGAATTGTAGAATACCAGCTTGGAAGGGACCTCAAGGGCTATCTGATCCAACCTTTCTTGGCAAAGCATGACTTAGACTAGGCGTCCCAACACCCTATCCAGCTGAATCTTAAATGGGTCCAGTGTTGGGAAGTTCAGCACTTCCCTGGGGAGATTATTCCAATGGCTGATTGTTCTCATTGTGAAAAATTTTCCTCTTGTGTCAAATTAGAATCTCTCCAGGAATAACTGTGCCCATTACCTCTTGTCTTCTCCATGTGACTCCTTGTAAAAAGGGAGTCTCCACCCTCTTTGTAGCCACATTTCAAATATGGTCTCATGCTCTGCCAGGGAAGAGGGGAAGCCAGGAGGAAGCAGAGACAGGACACCTGACCCAAACTGGCCAAAGGGGTATTCCATACCACAGCACGTCATGCCCAGTATAGAAACTGGGGGGAGTCACCCAGAAGGCCCAGATCACTGCTTGGGTTGGGCTGGGTATCGGTTGGCAGGTGGTGAGCAATTGTGTCCTCTCCCCTTGTTGTTTCCCTTATCATTATTATTACTACTAGTAGTGGTTTTGTATTATACCTTAGTTACTGGACTGTTCTTATCTCAACCTGTGGGATTTGCGTTCTTTCGATTCTCATCCCTATCCTGCTGGGAGTAGGAGGGGAAAAAGGGAGAGTGAGCAAGCAGCTGCCTGGTTCTGAGTTACCAGCTGGGCTTAAACCACTACAGTGTGTCTAGTTAATTAAAGTATTAGCCAATTTATGTGTAGGTAATGTTTCACTTAGTTAATAGAGTCTCCTAAATCAGTTATGTCTTAAGCTTGCAGACCAAAAGGGCAGATTTGAACTCATTAACAGTGACTTCCAGCCAAAAGAGAAGGAGGCAATAGATTAAGGAGCCATTTCAAGATACTCCCACTAAAGGCTGCTGAAGAGATCTGTTTTTACTAGAATTTGTCAGGGAGCATTTTCCAGGATCTGGTGAGTATGGGTGCCAGTGAGACCTGGAAAAAAGAGATGCCAGGGGCCGCAAAGTAGGCAGTGCTTAGACCAAGGGGAGTTCTCAAAAGAATAAAGGGAGGATGTAAAAGCCAATACAGAATGTAAGAGCAGTGAGATGTAATTACAGTACTTAGCAGTGAGCAAAGGAACATAGCAGAACACGCAGTTGGCTAAGAGACCAAAATGCTTATGTTTAGGAAAACCATATGCAGGTGGGAAAGACAGAAAGGTGCAGGAGGTGGACAGGAAAACAACAGAGGAAGTATGGGAAGAAAACAGCAAGAAGATGAATATCGAGCAAAGTAATGTAATAGAGTATTGAAAATTCATTCATTCATTAATTCACGCTTAAGCAACTGAGAAACTTGGTTTCATTTACATTAGCGTAAAGCTAGAATAACAGTGGTAGTTTGTGGTGTTATTTCGGTTTTTCTTTGGCATAACTGAGATATAAATTGCGCTCTCTTTTTGAAAATTAATAAGGATAATGGAAAAAAAAAGTTAACCAATGGAAAATATTTAAATAATAGAGAATGAAACAAGAGGGCAATAAAAGAGCTTTTTCTGTATCTCGGACAAATTCAGTTCCACTCTGCACAAAGCTACATTTAGAGCCATCATATACAAGCCTGTTAGTGTTTGCATGTTACAGCTGCTTTTGAATCAAAGCAGTTATTTGTAGGTTCTCCAGTAGCTTTTAAAGAAATTTTCAGATAGTAAACAGTCCTATTATAGCACGCCTCAGGGCTGTTCTTTGCCCTGCTCTGGTCCCTGTACGGCTACTGCAGCAGTAAGAAAGGAACAGAGAGTAAATATAAATGGATCCAGGGCAGAAATAAGTTGCATGGGGAGTTTTCTATTTGGACAGAGTTGATGGAATGTTTTGTATCTCAGCATAAAACTGAAATTTGATAGGGGGTAAATGTAAATGCACCTTCCCTAGTTTTCAGATGTTTTCCAGCCGTTCTTTCACTAGTCCCTGAATTTCCTATTCTATAGACTGATATTCAGCAGGCATTGAAGTAATTTAAAGTAATCTTTGAAGTTTTCCCTTTATTCTTTAACGCCTGCAGCAGAAATGTGTAGGAAGTTGCTGTTGTTCCCTACTGAAAGAAGAGTTTAGGCTTTTTCTTGCAGTCAGGACAGTGCTTCACGCCCTATGGATGAACACTACCATCTGTGATTCCAACAAAATCATCATATCAGTGAGGTCTCTAGAGGACACTCGATGGAAAGCAGGATAGAGTACTTTGCTTATGTTCTTACTCATATCAGCCTAAATCTGATTACTTTGATCGAATAAAGCAGAGTTGCATAAATTTTTAGAGACAGGAATCCAAAAGTTATACTTTGTGCTTCATTCTGCTTACAGGAAAGTCCCATCAGAAGTATGGAGAACCATCAAGTCTGATGATTTTAACCACTTCTTTTTCGCTTACTTTCTGCTTAAATAATTTGATCTGAATGTTGATACCAAAGCATATGCTTTACAGAACAACACTGACTCTTAGGAAACAGTTCATTGTTTCTGGTTGCTTTCATTTTTAGAATGATAGAAGAAGTGATGTGTTCATAACCAGCTGCCAACGGGGGACTGCAGGTAGCTAGGATAGGCAGTTAAGATGTCAGTTCTTTTTGACTCTTCCTCAGTCTCTAGGAAATAATAAACTGCTTCAATCTGTGTGGTCACATAAACACATTAGTACTGAATGTATTCAATTGAACAATCTCTTCAGTTGTTTGTGTCACCAGCATGAAAACTTACTGCAGATTCAAGGGGCTAGATTGTCCTAGGTGCTGTTCATCCTTACAGGCTGTTTGGAAAAATGTGTACTTTGTTCTGAAAGGAGAAAAGGCTATTCCCACTATGCAGAGCTCGCATCTTGTGGCAACAACTTGAATTTGGTGGTTGTAAGAATTGTTTCAATGGCTTAATACAGGAACTTCCTGTATGAGATCAGATTGCTTTCTGTCAGATGTCTTAGGTGATGTGACCCACATATTCAAAATAGTGAATTCAGGCTGTTAGATTCAGTTGTTTCTCATTACACTAATAACTATAAAGTCTAGAGCAGAGCAATAAGATGGTTTTCAAACTTACATTTTATTAGAAAGTTATAAATTTCAAAACAAAACCTTGCATACAAGCACATCAAATTTTAAAAATTAATATGTTGTGTGAATTCAGTTTCCTACTAATATAATGCAAGGCATCTGTGGTTGGGTAAAGTGTACGTACATTTGCTGTGAGTGTACAATCTGATTTATTAAAAAAAAAACCCAAACAATACAACTTGTATGCCACAAAACATGGCTTCAAAGGGTTTCATTTCCTGTAGTTCAAAATGTTAGCAGCTTACTCTGAATTATACTGGAACACTGAAAGTGAGTTTGATATCGGTAAGGAAGATGAATATATTTGTTAAAGAATACAAAACCATAAAAAATTGCCAGCAGAGTGTTAAGAGTTTCCCAGAGAGATTTGTCATCATGAATAATTGCACTTAACCTGTAGGCTATTGCTAGTAGGTAATACTATTTTCTTTATTATTTCAAAATATTTATAATTTCCTTAACAAAAATCCATTCTGTACCCAACACAAAACATTCACTGAATGCAGATTTAAGATGATACAATATTGGATTTTAGTTGTGCACCTTTACTTTTCTCTTTTTACCTGTATACCAGAAAGGTGGGGGTTTTTGTTTTGTTTGGTTTTTTTTTAAAAAAAGGTGCATTAAAATGAATGATCTGTGCAAAATGGGAAGCATTTATGTAATAACTGATGCAAAACTCATGCAAAAGAGAAAAAATGTAAAAAAAATCCCCCAACAGTCTAAGAAGCCCTGAGTCAGTAATTTCATTTCAAAGGCGAGGAACAGGAGTGCTCTGTGTTCTTCCTATACATTGGTGCATACTCAAACCAGTCCAGTATTTACTTGAAACATATTTTAAAATAAGCAATTTGTGCAGTTTCTCACATACAGGTCTTCTGTGCACTTTGTTCCTTTCAGCAGACTGTGACTGTATTTAATACTCAATTTCATTTAAGCTATCAGGATAGCCTGATGAGAATTGAATTTCTTCCACTTCTAGAACACAAAGAAGGGGAAAATACTGTAACTATTTGTATTTTTATCATACATAAGAATGCATAAGACAGAATGTTATTACCATGCTGTATTTAAATGAGACAGCCGTACGTTTTTTTAAAAGAGCTACAGCATCTTTACAAGTGCAGATTCTGAGGATCGTCTCGCATCTTACTAGAAAAAGAATTCTGCACCAATCCAGCAGCACAATACTAAATTCAGATCCATTCATTGGGGGTTCAACGGAAGACGTATCACCTCTCTAATTACAAGATGTGCTGTGAATTGCTGTAAGAGAAACTGTTTAAACTTACCTAAACAGGGTCCTGCCTGGAACAGAATATCATCAATAGCAGTGTCACTTCTCATCGACACACCACGGATTGCCTCAAAAATAATCTGTAAGGGTAAGATACAGCTTTTAATGAATCCCACAGGAGAGGAAGGACTAAAAAAAAGTAGAACCAAGCAGTCTACGCAATGATCTAGTCTCTCTGGAAAGCCCACTTCTTGGAAGGAAACTTCCGCACTCCATCAGTGGACTGATTGATCAGAGAATTTGGGTGTGTGCTATGCTGAAGCAAATCTGTTTGCACACTTTGTTAGGAAATCACTGTGTGTTACAGACAACTCATACTTTTTCTCTAGTGACACGGCATTTCTATCTTTTCAGCCCAAATGTGTAGCTATGTGTGGTCCGTATGTAAGCAAGACTTGGAGGGGAGAAAAAGCATGACAATATTGTTGTGGTCTTACTAATGAAGCTAAACTTGTTTTTCAGTAAAAGGTTTCTTTTTGTCATTTGTGTGGGGTTTGTTGCTGGTTTTGTTTGTTTTGATGTGATTGTTTCCTAAATAATTTCCAAACTCTTAAGGCAAAGTGATTAAAAAACCCCCACAGACAACATCCTTGGTTAACGATCAGTGCAGTAATTTCAGTTTCCTCTTTGACAGAGAAATTGAAGTAGGCTTTGTCTCTGGCAATACTGAAATGATAGCACTGTTGAAACCAAAGGCAGAGCTCTGGCTTGGTAACATCCCTTGCCTTTGGTGCCACCTCAGAAAGACAGTCCTGCAAGAAGCAGTCATTTTATCACAGCGTAGTGGTGATAAATCTAGACAGGGCTTTAGACAGCTGAAGGAAAAGAAATTCTGCAAGTGACAAAAAAATATTACTGCTGACAAGAAATAATGGGAAAACAGCATTTAAACACTTCTTTTTTTTTTTTTTAATTAATGAACTATTTTCATACTTGAAACCTATTAATGTCTTCAATAATTCCTTCCCTACCTTCATTTTTAAGAAATTACATGTTGCTTCAGCTTGTTCTGGTGTCCATTCAATGCTATCTACATTTAACTTTTTTTTTCTTTTTTTTTTTTAAATACAATCCAAAACTTGGATTTTAGCACATAGTTCAGTTCAATATTCCGTTTTGACTGGTTTTTGTTGGGTTGGTTTTTTCTGGTTTGGTTTGGTTTGGTTGTTGGTTGGGTTGGGTTAGGTTGGGGGTTTTTTTCTTACCTGGTAATTTCTATCACTTTCATATTCTATCAGTCCCCTTAGCCATGAGATGCTTTGTTCCCCTGTCCTCCTCCACAAAGGAATCTCATTGTCATCACCCTCCTTCTTTAGATAAACACTTAATAATCCAGTCCCAGCTCCATACATGTTATAGAAAAATGTCAAGCACTGTTTTCCAGAGGTTCCTCTCAGTGATCTTGAAACTAGGTATGCTCTCTGTCCATAGACCATGTCGGATGCCTCTATGTACATGTAATATCCTTCAAAAGATACGCAAGCAAATATTAGCAAAGTAGAATGCATTCTATCTGCATGTTCACTATGCTCAACATGCTCAGTATATAAAAAACTGTTATTGAAACTATTTTGATAAAGATTTTTATGCCAGAGTCAGTACTATTTAGAATTAACAATGGAAGAACATAATTTCTTGGTCATCTGCTATTTCAAGCCAAAGAGAAACATTCCTAAATGCATTTGCAATTCCACATGTAGAATTTTGGCCATACAATCTGCAGGATGCAGCTATTACAGAAATTCTACCAGGAGATGGGAAAGTGAGATTTTGCTGAATGTGCACAAAGCCATCTTCTTAGATAAAGAGATCAGAAGCAAGACAAACCACCTGTTATTTTGCTAACTAGGAGCATTTGTTGTTTTATTAACTAAAAACAAACTAGTTTTCCAAAGCAACTTGAATTAAGCTTGCATAGAGTGAGACTTCGTACTCACAGCTGAAATAACTACCCTTGATAATGCTCAACATGGTTTACACTCACAGTTGACAGAATAGTAATAGCTTTTGGTGAGCCTTTTAGGCAGGCCAACTGCTTTTGTAGTCTGGCTAAAATTATTAACAGACCAGATAGACAGCTACTGTGAATAAACCAGCGTGTCTGCAACTGACTTTATAACTTGTTGAATGAATGCTAACCACTGTGAAAGAGGGCAAATCCAAAGGCCCACGAAGCCTTTTTAAACCTATTTAAAGTTCACAAGCCTTACAGCAGTTGCATCCATTATGCTGAAGTAAGTGGAGTTGTTACTGAGGTCCTCTTCTGGAGGAACACAAGCACCCAATGCAGTTCATCACTTCCAAAAATCATCAGTACTGCCCCAAGAGCGGGGGCAATTCTGCTGTAGTTTTCTGTGTGCTCATTCATGCTAATAGGGGCCCCACTTGCCTAAATACTTTAATTTACATATATTTAATGTAAAAATACTTTAAATTACATCTGCTCCATGGTTATGGAGCAGATTTTCAAGACAAAGAGTCTGTGGGACTTCTTTTCTTACCCATGTTTTCTTTCAAGTGTTCAGGTAGAAGAGATCCCAACTGCTTGTTTGCCTTTTAGTTTTATTGAATATTCATGTAAACTAGGGGTTTGGAAGCAGGCATTTCTGCAGGGTCTAGGAAGTCATCCTGTCTTTTTTTCTCGCAAAGGAAAGGGCTACTTTAAAACATGAAGACTGAATTACCCAGTTGGCTTGCAGATAATTCAGATGAAACGTCACATTCTCAAAACCATTCCTGTGTCCCTAAGAAATGCGTTTACTTCATTTCATTAATAACTGTTCTGAACAGAATAGTAAAAACTTTGTGTTCTAGGTTATAATTTCAAAGAATTTTTTCTTAGCTATCAATCTCTGTTCTGAAAGTTCAGTGTGGAGCTTAACTCACCTACCCCAGTAGTGTGGTCTCCTTTCGGTCCGGTGTAAGAAGTGGGAGTTGGACCCCTCCTCCGGTGCCAGCTCCCACGACCTCTCTTCTTCTGGGTAAACACACACTCATCTTTTTCAAAATTACACTCCCCAGGATTGGGCAGCTGTAGATCTATAAGGAGAAGACATTGTTTAAAACTGCAAATATATTAGACATATATGGAGAAATTATACCAGTAATGTATCACTTCCACTCACCTGCTGAAATCACTCCTATCTACCTAGCAATACTTCCAGTAGTCACAAGCTTAAGAAAGCTTCAAACTAATTTATGAAATTTAATTTCATTTTCTTCACAGGGTTGGGGAAATCTGTGCCTGACTCTGGCTCACTAGCGTGTACTAGTATTCTGTAAAACACCTCATACAGTCTATTACGTCATCATAACTCTTACTCCACAATGGGCTACACCAGTGTAGTTTTCTTCACTACTGTGGCACCTCAAGCAGTTTAATGAGCTCCAGCGTGTATACCATGCATTTTAAATGCGTCTTGTCAAAGACTGGAGTTTCTATGATCTGAAATCAAACACCACATTTAGCTCTCCTATGTTGCCATGGCACCAGATTCTAATACCACATACAACAGACCACAGAGCTGCAATTACTAGATTATTTTCATGACTTCAATTCTGTTCAATTATGCAGAAGAGAGTAACAATTCAGGTGCTTGCCAGGAAGCTTCTGTCAGCTCTTCTGCTGTGATCCAAATATGTAGCTCAGGAGCAGACTCTCTGAGCTGCTTTCACCTCTTGCAAAGAAGGAAGCCTTGATACCTCATGTACACTGGGGCATTTTTGGGACATTTTTCTGCTGCCATCAGTGAAAAGTCCCAGTATGACTACACATCCAAGCATCAGTTCTTCACCTTTGGTTCCTTTTCAAGTTACTTAGGAAATACAGAAAGGCAACACAGATTACTGTTCGAAATTCTTTAGAGAAATAGCACCTTGTTTTATATATGTGACCTCTTTCTGTTCCATAGTGGTTAGCTGCCTGAATGCATGAAATGCAATCAAAAGAGGTCATTAAAAAGTTATTATTACATGGGAGTATAAATGGCATTGCAGATGAGTCTTATCACCATTTCAAAGGCATGGCTTTATTCTGAAGAAGAATGGGATTATAGATAGATGCCTGTCTCGTGGGAATGATTTCCAAATTAGAATACAGTCATTGCATTGTCAAACCTCAAGGAGCCCCAGAAGAGGGTGAGTTCAAAGAGGTTAACCTGTGCATCTCAGGGGGCGCAGTCTTGCGCAAAAGCATTCAGTTCCTCCCACTGCAAAAGGGAGACTTAGACTCACCTGTCTTCATTAGAGAACTGCAGTTCAGAAAAGGGACTATGTCTTGGCCTTGCACAACTGTACTTCTGGACTAAAAAGAATGACACTATGTTTTGAAAATACTGCTTTTGGGTCCATTCCGGGTTTCCTAAAAGCCATCTGAAAACTCCTTTCCCCTCAGTTGGACTGATGGTTTTGGTTTTTTGTTGGGTTTTCTTCGTTTGTTTGCTTGTTTTGGTTTATATTGTAGTGCCCCAAAGGATGCTCACTTGTATACAACTGCACCAGAGTCAGTTACATGATGCTGATTAGGATTTAGCTGGCACACCTGTGAACAAAAACTGTTCCTCACTGTATGTATGCTACTGCAAAAATAGGGTTTATGCAATACTTTTTGGAAAAGGAAAAGAAACCACTGTGGGATGAAGGCAGCTGTAAGACGGGCTTGGAAAATGAAGGTATGCGATGAACTCTTATTAAAAAGGGTAGCAGCTGTTGGATGACAAATATACATGGTCTTACCAGCACCCTGACAGCTTCCCAGGCTCAATGATACATCATCCAGGGCCACAAGTCCACAGTCCCAGAAGCTTTTACACCAGCTAACAAAGACAACCTGCAATACATGAAGGAAGTTTCAGGTATCTAACAAAAGCTGGCACTGTTAAGAGTCTGAAATTGTAAATTTTTCCAAATGTGCTAATAATTTTCACATCTACAGAATAGAAATTACGAACCCACTTTGTTCTGGCACATACTAATATGGGCAATGACTGAAATTTCAAATCCAGTGGGGTTTAGATGCATGTTTTCATTCAATAGAAAGTGTTTTCTCACTTTTAAAGGCAAATGATGTATGTCTATATGTAGTTAACTTTTTATTAGGGGACTGTATGTTTTTAAGTGTATGACAAAACATGACTTAGTGAGGTTGTGGTTTTTTGCCCCCCTTCCAAACCAACATGAACAGCTAAAATGTCCTCAGCTATCTTATCCTTAGAACCAGGAGATTTTATCCATGGAAAAATAGATCTGAAAGAGTAATGCCGAGCAATGGCCAAAAGAAATGGCCATGGCAAAAAACCGAAGAGCGATAGAGAAGAGATGAAACTACTGCATAAAATGGGATTATTCATAAATGATACAAGGCCATATCATAACGCAGGAGGCTGGAAATGCTAAGCATGCTAAGCATCATTCACAGCGTTTATCTGGGTTTGTGAAGATTAAAAATAGTGTCCAAGAAGTTTTATTTGTCTACACAGTAATTCTGCCATGAAAAATACATGTCATTCATGAGATGACAAAATAAAATGTAAAGAGACTGTAAGATTCCCATCTGCCCTTCTCCCAGGGTTGACCAACGTCTGTTCAAATTGCAGAAGACACGATAAGGTTTGTTTTGTGAAAACACTGCTGACAGTTTTCTTTGCCTAACTACTGCAAACCATCTGTCTGACCACTGGGGTTATGACCATAATTTGGGAGGAGCTTTCCAAAACAATTCCTTTGTGATGAGGTCTGAGCTAGTGGCTGGAGACTGTTAGACTTCTAACATTTTAGTATTCTGCAATAACTGTAAACACCTCAGTTACATATTTGAGGTTAAATGCTGTTGGATGACAAATATAGTTTCATGTGGACACAAAAAGTTTATAAAGTCATTCATGTATTATTTAATATGTCCTCTTTTAACAGGCTTCAATATGGTCATTATTCCAGATTTTGCAAGACTGCTTTGCTATGTACTATTTACTTACCCATCTGCTTATAAAACAGCCTGGGACATAACTACACTTAAACCTTTGAGGCATGTACCGGTTATGCTGCCCAGGATGGAGCAATTTTTAAAACCATTTTCCATTCAGTGCTACCAATTCTGGTAATAATGATTATCTGTCTTGTAAACTGTTACAGGTGTGGACTTTGAGGAGTGCTCCTGCACAGCATGCAGAACTGCTGAGAGTATAGTGGCCTAAAATCTGCCTTCTTTTTTTCTTTTTCTTCTTTCTTTTTTCTGTAGAACTGCTTTCTTAACCTTAAAGTTTAACAGGACAAAAACTGTTTCCTACTTTCTAAGTTCATTCTCAAGAAACAGGCGCAATCTGTTAAAAATGGTAGCATCTCTTGGAATTAAGCATACAGTAACTACAGACGTTGGGTGGACGTCACTCACCAGACTTTTAATGAAAGCATTCTGGTGAACATTTGTAATAAACTAAAGACATATTATAGTCCTAAACCCAAGAATCTTCAGAAAACCACACATGAAAGGGTGAGATCAGTCAGTCCTCATTTGTGAAACAGTATTTCCACACTGTGGAACCATGTTTTAAGTGATGTTTTCCTATTGACATCATTGGGAGTAGGATCAAGCTCTTTATTCTTAAATTGCAATAATTTGTTCCGTACAAGGTACATAATTACCCACTGGATCCTGCAGAAAGCCCTCCATTGCAAAAGCACTATAACAGTAACTGTTGGTCTCTCAAAGGCTGTTAGTCTGGTAGCCTCTGTACAATCAAAGGATTGATCTGTTTCAGTGACACTTGTAAACTTGTACAGCTTTGTCATCTGTAGCTTTGGTGTTACTAATTTTCCACTTGCTTTTTGTAGTGTTGAGTGACATGCTGCCATGAGCAGACTTTATAATTGCAAAGAGGTGGGGGAGCTTTTCTTGGGAATGTGATTTCCAGTATTAGCTACAGCAAATGTACTGAAATTGTTCATTGTCCTCTTGGCTTATTTTGTTATATTCTTGATTTAGTTTTAAGTAATGATGTAGAAGATATTTTTATTTACACGTCACTCCTCTTTTGTCCTTTTGGTTTTTTTTTTTCTTTTTTTTCTCTCTTTTTTCTTTATTTTTCTTTCTTTCCATTTTTTTTTTTTTTTTTTTCATGAAGAGACGTTTTTGGCTATTTGAACTTTACCTACCAAAATTGTGTCTATCTGGATTTACTCACCTGCTCATTTTCACCCTATGTCAGGTCTCTGAATCCTTTCTATAGTCTTGATAGGACTAATCTCATGAAGCTTTACATTTGTTCTTGGTTTGAATTAAAATATTTCCTAGGTCAATTCTTCCAAAATAAATCTTTATGAAGTTATCTCATGCCTTGGAGAAGAGAACAGGGGGGTCTTTGTGCTCAGCTCACACTTTGTTCATAAACCATGACATACGAACAACATACTAATTGTTTCAAACTAGGTAACTCCTGGACTTGCATGCTATCTTGGAGGCTAAATTAAAAACATTATCAAAGGTCAATTGTTGCCTGTGTTACTGAAAAATAAAACATACTTTCTTCTCATGCTTCTTTTTGTTCCAGTAACAGGACACAGCCAGGGCATTAGTTTCCTTCCAAATCATTGCCCTGATTCCTGGAAGCTGGTTTGTTTATTTTCCAGTACTCAATTAATGTTCCTGACCTGTAGCCTCAAAGTATTGATAATCAGTTCTTATTGTTTTTCTGGGTTATATCAGAAATGAGCAATGCTAGATGAGAACAGCTGTTAGAGCAGAGTTTCACTTCTCCCATGGCATGTTGCTGGGTTGTGCTGCAGGCACTGAGTGAGGTAGAAGGGACTTCTCATCCTTAGCACTCTGCATCTCTATAAGAAGATGTGAATTAAAACATATGCATATAAAGTTTACCTGCTTTTAGAAGAGAAGAAAGAGCAGGACATACAGTAGGGTAACTCCAGTATAAGGGAGGACTAAAGGGGGAGCTTGTAAAAGGAGCTGGACTGAGAACAGGGTAAAAGAAGATGCCCCTAGACCCCTATGGGTTCTGTGTATTTTCTTTGCTACTTGTTTATCCCAGGGAGTATAGCTCTTGCTCAATTAGAGAGGCAGACCAGCCAAACAAAAAAAACCTGTGACAGCAGCAAAATCTGGTGACATAAGAGCAAGCTGTGCCTCTGAAGCAAAGTAATTTACCTGGTTCCATCCTAGTGAGTATTACTAGTTTTAAACTAGATACTATATATCAGTGTAGACCCAAAACTCAGTCAGTTGCTTATACTCATATTTAGGTTCAATTTCTTTAGGGAGAAAGGTATTACAGTGGAGTCTGAAGTGGGTTTTTGCAAGAATCAACTGTTGTATCATCCATGCAGTGACACAAAGCTCAGTATTATGAAATCCAAAAATAATTCAAGCACCAGAAACAAAAGTGTGACATGACACAAAGAAACAGTGAAGATGTTTTCACAAAACAGCGAGCCTGACTTTCCAGTCAGTCACACTAGTACGCAGCTGTATAAGGGTGTAAGCCAGCACAGGAGAACGGGAGAACCATTCTGATTGTCCCAGGGCTGTTCAATATAAACGTTATCAGTGTAACTCAAATTACTTTTAACAAGCTTAATTAAAACAGATTTTAAATGGCTTGTTTTCCTTTGTCTTAAACAGTCAGAATCTCATTTATCAAGAATGCAAGTAAGCTATTAAGCCAAAATTAGAATGTCTGCAAGCATCTGTCATTTAAAAATGAATTGATTTAAAATGGCATTCACCATGCAAGTTCAATTTCTTGGCATGTAAATACAATAAGGTTCTCCAGGAAAATAATGGATTATGAAAGCTTCTACATAAATAATTGGATAATACTGGTAATAAGCTTGTGACATTTGAACAAATATTTTATAAAATCTTTCCTGTACAAGGGCAAATAAATGGGTTGCAGAAACAAACAATGAAAGAAAAACATAAAGCTAACAGAACAACCGAGGGCAAGAGGCTTTTGATGCTACATCTATGTTCACTGGATTGCACTATCTAGTAGAGAATACTGCCTGCACAGAAATGGTATCCCCAGCTGTCCCCCAGGCCCCTCCTGGATTTCCAGAAATCTGCTATTATGGGCTCTATCCTCTTTTGAGTGAAACAGTTTCCTTGGCTCTTTTTATAAGAGGGGAAGATTCTTGCCTTTAGACTAAGGACTCTTGTCAAATGATGTGGCCTTGTAATATCACAACATTAAGTACCCAGAACGGAGCAAAAAAAGGAAATGTCAGTTACATATCACAGATACCAAAAGAGGTATGTAATAAATATTTAATGCAAGATATCTCATTTAGCTACTGTGAAGATGCAACCCACTTAGACAACGCTTTCTAGCCTGAATAATTTTTACAGTTTTTAGTATGTTGTCTCCATAACCATGTCAAACACCACAGACAGTGGGATTCACATTTTGCAAGCACTAATCCTGCTATTTACAGCCCCTAATGTTCTTATTTTAAACAGGCATTTCTAGTGACTGTTCTGTAAGAAGTTTCTTGGTATAGAGGTGAGAGAAGGTAGGGCAGAAGAGCCATACTACAAAACTGCAGCTCATTCCAGCCTTTTTAGGTTGCATACCATATCGTGGAATGACTCATCAAGGATTGCATCAGAACAGTACCAAAATGCTCCATTATTTGACACAAGTGAGGTTTTTCCAGAGGAGGAGGAGATGAGGACTAGGATGTCGGTTTTCGTCTACTTGGTGCCTGACTGGATAACTGTGTCCTTTATACTAGTGACTTGATTACAGGGATCTAGGACTTCATCATATGTCCAAGATTGCTTTAGTTACTTACCTATGACTTTGGCGGATAAGCAGGAGACACAAATTTCTCAGCAGCAAAGAGAAATGCTGGAATAATTTAATATTGAGCACCATCACAGTGATATTATGAGAACAAAGGTCTGAAAACCCTCATATCAAGCCCTAGGAAGGTGGAGGGGTGATAATGGATATTTAGGGAAAACAATACAAGAAACAAATCAACCGTAAAGCCATTTGTGCTGTTATATTATGTTCAGCCCCACCTAGAGAGTTGAAGAACTTGAACTGGAGGTCAGTGAGTACCACTGTATTTACAGTCATGTGAGGTCCATTTTCCATGAATTTACCTAATCCCTTCTTAAATGTGTGAATGCTATTGGCCTCCACAGCATCGCACAGCAAAGGATTTCAGTGCTTAGTCATTTCTGGAAAAGTCCTCCCTTTTATTTGTTTTAAAACATTTAAATATTAAAGTGCAACACTCAGTCACTTGATCTTGCTTTCTCACAACTGCAACTAAAATTAGCTATGGAGGATGGGTGGGAACAAACAAATGAACTCAAGGAAAGAGAGTGAGGAGAAAAGAAACAGCAGGAAGAAAAAGTAGACGGAAAGAATAAAACCCCAAGAAATGCTGCCACAACCACCCTGATGGAAGTAGAGTGGACTGTTACAATGCCAGCTGCCTTTGTGAGGGTATGTTTTTGAACACTGTGGGAGGTATTCAAGTACTGCAGCACTGTGTAACATTGCAACAACTTGCATGGATGGGTAAACAACATGAGATGTTTGCTTTTGAAAACCTGAGTTTCAGAATGCCACACCAAATCTAGCAGAAATGAACGGATCTGATATAAGTAGACCCCGTTGCACTCAAACCTTCATTTTAATCTAGGCAATTAGACTTTGATGTGAAATTGCATAAAATAATTATCTTTCCATGGTGGCATATACACACAAATACACATACAATATTAAAATGGAGATTCTTGCTCCACAATGCATGTGAGCATCTCCAGGTTACATACACCATGTCTGAATTTTTCTTCGGTTAGCTCTGACATTCTCCTCATATGTATTAGAAGATCAGTTTCAGTACATTCAATCAGCTCAAAAGAATCTACATATTTCAGACTTAAATTTTTATGCTGCCCTTTAAGAGGCTTATACAACAAAGCATGAATGGTTTCATTTGTTTAAAAAAATGTTAGGAATTTTTTTCTTTTTTTTTTCTTTTTTTAGTTTTTCCTTCTTACATTTATTCCCTGAGCACTACAGAGTACAAAAACAACACTATATGTGTATAGGGTCATAGGAACTTACACTAAGAGTGGTTCAAGTACAAATTGAGAAATCAGTATTTTAAATTCCCTGCCTTCTCACTAGCATTATGTAATTTACGTATTTGCAGTATGTACACATATATACATATATATATAAACATTTATGATTTGCTTAGCTGGATCATACCCACCCAACCTTTTCAACATGGTATTTTTCAAAGTGTTGCATTAAAGCCTGTTGGCCAGCTCCACGTTTCCTGCTCACAGAACTCAAGCCAACAATCTGTGCCAGACTGCAGTTAGCTAATTCAAAAAGAACTTTCAAAAACCATTCAGGAACCAAGAGATGAAAATCTGAGCCTTTTTATTGTCCAGATGCAAACAAATTTATTAACAAAATTAAAACACATCAAACTGATTTTATATTGTTTTCAAAGCCTTGGGAGCCATATCTGCAGTGGAAGAAAGATGAAGGACATAGGTAACCAGGTATTTTAGAACAATTGTCCTCTGGCTGCTAAATCATTAATGACCTTCAGGGCTCCCTGGCTAAGCAGCATAACAGCTGCCTCACTGACTTTACTGGCCACTAAGGAACTGCCAGGAGACTGTTTACTGTTTCCACAGGCACTGACCCAATCTACAAGACACACCCTGTAACCAAAAAATTGATCAGACAAACTACTGTGCATGCCTACAAATCTTATCCAAGTCTAGTCATGATGCATCTCAGAAAACAATGCAACAGGCACATCACCCATCACATCTGCATTAGAGGGAAGTTGGTAGCTCTATCTGATTTTGAGACCACCTCACTCCATTAAAAGACTGCTTTAAACTTGTTCATAACATTGTCAAGGCGCAATGATTTCAGCTCAGACTTTCCATGCTGGGTCCCTGCTTCAAGCTTGTTTTGGAAGATTTAATCCAAAACAGCTCCATGATTTCCGAGAACAAGTCTAGGAAATGGAAAAGGTTTTATTTTGGCCCTATTAAAAAAACTCTTTGAAAAGCTTGGGCACTCCTAGGTTTTGGAATAGGAGCATGAAGAGTGTCAGGGTTTGGTTTTTGTGCCAGAACTGTGCTTTCTGTCAAGTCATTAGCTTTCGAAAAACTAAAATTTGTATGAACCGGGCTAAGCAGGGCAAACAGACTGTAACATGGGCATGATTAAAAATTAAAAAGTTGGACTGCCTGGAGCTGAGGAGCCAGGAGTAAGATGGGGAATGGGAGCAGGGGAGTGTTGCTGCTTGTGGGTCGGGATAGACAAGACAAAGGTGCATCAGTGAGGAGGCGAGAGACACAAGGACAGGTTGGAGGAAAGAGGACAAGAGAAGCCAAGCTTCAGTGAGCTAGTTTCTCTCATGCTTCTGTATACTGCCTCTCTCTCCAGAGCCTGAACTCTGACTTGCTGGTTCCCACCTCTCCCTGATGTCAAGCAAAACTGCTCCAATGCACCTCAACTTCTGGTCTGCATTGAATATGGCCATTGAAATGACTGTTCCTTATCAGCTATTTCACTAGGTGCTAGGCAGATACAGCTTTACAGAGAACAAAGCTAAGTATTTATACAATGCCATATAGTGCTCCTTCATTTCCTTCTGTTGGCTTGGAAAGAAGAAACAAACAAAGTAAGTATAAAGGTTGAAGATTTGGGCATGAGATTGCAAGGAAAAGCCAGAATCTGGTCCACTGTGCAACTTCGTTCAAGCGTGCTTGTGAATATTTCAATCAGACAACCTGTAACTACGCAAGTTTTTCATCTTTGGGGCTCAGAAGCAGCAAGGATATTTGCCTGACTTCCTTTTTGTCCTCTGTGCTGCTCCCTATCTGTTACTGCCTACAGACAGACTGGTAACTACAGTCATGAAAGCTGCAATTCATGAAAAGCTTTCCATGCTAGGCAAACTTCTTCACAAGTGTTTTAGATGTACCAATTTCTAGGAAAACATAAAAATAGTTCTTCATAAATTCATATTGGAAAAGACTTTCCGTGTAAACGTCAGATGGTAAAAACACTGCCACCTCAAAGGCTATAAACCATTTCTAAGAGTCGTGCTCAGCTGTCATCACTACTCATACAATGTATTGCATTACACAAGCTACCAAACCTTTTTAGAAGTAATAAAGAAATACATAAACAGGCAGTGGCAAAAGTAGACTATAAGCTTGCCTTTTTAACCAATACCTTTTCATGATTTAAAAAAAAAAAAAAAATTTTTTTCAATTAATATTTTGGGATGATACTATGAGAAACTTTTCTATCATGCATGTGCTGGGCAGACATTTTTTTTTTTCCTATATCAGTTGAAAGGGAATTAGAAATTCTATTCAGTTTTATGCATTAAAAATGTACATAAAAATCCTGTCAAATTTTTAAGATATCAGATGTCTGAGCGAAAACACTAGCCAGCAATTAGGACTTGAATTTTCAGCATAAACTTCCCTTTTAACACAGTTAGGCACCTTTTTTTGGTGAACTTTTCTTTTGCAGCATATTTACTTGGAAGAAAAACACTTTTTTTTCCCCCCAAGAAAAGTTAAACTCAGTAACTGCTGCCACTTCAAAAATTATTTTATAGTGGGGAAAATACCTAAGATGTTTGCCTGTAATTTAGAAATACTTGAGTTATAAGACAGGCTTTCAGTCATATATTCATAGCACTATCGGAGTGGAAAAAAAGCTGGATTTATCTCAGTGTTACCATGTAGTGATCCAACTGGTTTTCCTTAGGTGACTCACAGATAGTGAAAACCTATTACAGAAATCAGAAGTAGCACTTACACAAATCTGTGTAAAAGTCAATCTTTGTAAAAAGAGTGCAGATGAGGAATAACAGCTTAAGGACTTATTCACGAGGTGATACGAAATATTATGTTGTTTTTATTAAGTTGGGGAGATAACAAAGTGACCTCTCCAACCAGATGTTCAATCCTTCAAGTCCATTGCTCTAAATTTCAGAGACTTCTGATTCCATATTTTAACTCAGTGGTAGAGTTTAGAAAAGTAGGATCAGTTCCCCATTTTGACCAGAACTTACCAATACTGACTTTTTAGATTAATTAAAATCTGTAATCAAGTATGGTGATGCGAGTCACACAGGAAACAAACAAACAAAAATGAGTGAACCTGGAGCCTACTGAGAAACCAAGACACAACTAGCTCTCACTAGAGCTGCTCTAGTGAAATCTCCACAAATACTGTGATTACAGTCGAGAACAGCAAGGCAACACTGCTCCGTTCCTGGTATCGGGATATCCTCTGTCAGGGTTCCCATGGGAGCCAGGCTGCAAAGCAGTACTCTATTCCCCACTGTACTGCCTGGGGAACTCTATTTCACTCTGCAGGTATAGCTAACTTAAGATTAATCCCTGGATAACAAATAACCCTCAGATAAGAAGGCAAGGAAAATTTCCATCCAGAATTTGGCTGATTTGAAGAGTTGGCTCTTACCTTGCAAGGCATAGGCTTTTTGAAGGAGATTTCAGCTTGAGTCCAAACTCCCTTTGGAGAGTCCAAGACAGACCAGATTTTCTCTTGAACAATATGATTCTCCTCAAAGATATAAACAGCAAGAGTGCCACTCATTTTGAAAAACCCATACAAGGCATAATAAAAACGCAGACAAAACTGCAAGTTTCCTGGCAGGGTCGGGCCATACAGACGTCCAATGTACCCAGGCTGTGATGTAAACTTTGTGTTCGCCAACAAGTAATAGCCTGCAAGACAGTGCAATTATTGAATATTTCTAATACACAATTAGCAGAGCTGATCTGCTATCAAAGCAGCTTCCATTATTGCATCAGGCTTTGGTTATAAAACAGTTTCTACTGGCAGGAAACAGATTATCACACTCTGTTAGAAAGGAAGTAAGCATTTCTCTAAAAGCATCCCAGATACTTCAAGCTGAACTGGCACATGGCTACGTTACCAGAAATAAGCACTTCTCAAATTTATACTGAAAAATTCTCTGACCTCTCTGGAAACCTGTCTGTTTCAAGGGTACCAATCTAAGACCAAAGAATGAAGGATAGAGCACAAGGCCTAGTATTCCCTCCATCAAGTATAAAGAGGTAAGACTTCACCACATTTGGTTAAGAAACATGAATACTCTACACAAAAAGATATGCAAGTTTCAGAACTTACTAGCAGGCCTTTCACTACGTGGCTTCACTACACAACATTTCACAGTTTTCCCTTAAAAATGCCAACAGTCCTAAGCCTGGAAGAGCTAAGAGCCCACCATTCCTCTATATTAAAAGCAATGCATTAAGGTAGTATTATATCTGCTTGCATATTTTTGTGGAATCATCCCTTCAGTGACTACAGATTAGTATGGTGAAGATACTCTGATCTATGGCCCTGCGGGACTCTTCAGTAGGTGACCTTCCCCCTTTGCATATGGGGAGACACAGTCAGGGGCCCAGCTAGGACAGAAGGGTGTACACAGGCTTTTAATTGCAGGGAGTTGCAGTGAGGCATTCTAACCATTTAACATTAATTAAGAGAGCAAACAATGATACAATAGGTTAATCTTTATATCCAGTTTGAGTCTTCTAGTGAAAACGAGTTTTTATTTACCAAACCCAGTAGTGTGATCTCCTGCTCTATACACATTACGCTTCACTTTCACTCTGCTCCATCCCGGGCCATCTTTGTGATCCTGGTAAAAATTACACAGATCTTCCTCAAAATTGCAGCCTGCTGCAGCAGGATTGAAAGGTGTTCCTAGAAGATAAGACACATACGTCCTGTTAGGAAGGGCACATTATTATAAGCATAGGTATTTGCAGCACAAGGATACCAAAGTATACTGTTTCAACTTTCTTTGTATTACAGAAAACAAGCATGTTACACGTACACAGTGCACAGCCACAGTGATATCAAACTATCAATTTCCTATTGCAAGTGAGTGTTATTTGCTTACATTTTTTGCTGGAGATGGGAGGAAACCGCCATCACAGCCTCTATATTTTGGACAAAATAAGTGTGACTGTGCTCATGTGTGTCCATGGGTGCTGCATATTTGTTTCAGTTTCCAAGGGCATAACTTTCTGACATTAACATTCAATATTCTTTTAAAAAAGACCCTTTTGTAGTAATGCATAATGTGCGTGCATATGCATGTTTTAAGTATGTAGTATTTTGCTTCATGTACCATCTCATGGCTACTGGCCATCTGGAGCTATGCCTCACATTTTTAGCACTGCAGCAAAGAAAGCTGCACCATTGGTAGTGAAGTTGATTAAAAGCTAAGTGAAGCCCTCAAGACCTGCTGATGGCTCCGTCTTGATTTGCAATGTGGAATTTGTGGGTTAGGATGTGCTTTAGTCTGAAGAAATCCCCTTGGTGAATGGATGCTTTTAAGTAACATTTCTACTTCTTTAAAAGCGTCATCAGTCACTTGCACCAGATGCTGGGGGCAGGAGGGGCACAACCCAAAGCAGTCATGCAGTTTTGGCTATATCAGGAGTCAGGACCCTGTAAGCATCAATCTATGGCAGCACACACACCAGCCTTCTGCATGGAGGCTAAGAGGGACTTCCTGGCAAGGGTAGGGACACAGGTGATCGATCAGCTTCAGGAGAAGCAACATTTTGGCTTTGGAGAGATGCCTGTGGTCTTTTCAGCTTCAAATAAGACAAATATAAGCACTGCACGTGTGTCTTTCTCTGCCTACAGAGAAAAAGGAGGCATCCCTGGCCTTTCCAAACTGCTTTCCTAGCTAAAGAAAACACAGTTGGAGCCCTGCCAGGTCCGTGCAGCAGTTTAAACCCATCTTTTGATTCATCCTTTGGTGAGCAAGTTTAACATTCTGGTACCTTTTCTCTCCATTTGTCTAACACTGGGACCTTTGTTGACCAAAACTTCAGAAAAATATGGAAAAAACTTAATGCTTTTATATAAACTGCGATGACAAGAAGAATTACAATCTCTTGCTTTTTAACACCTCTACTCAAAACAGCTGAAGATGGAGATAGGAGATAAGTCTGAAGGATTAACCAGCTTTGTTGTATTTCAACAAAATATAAAGCAAATGATTGGCATTCATTTCTCAAACAGAAAAAAAAAAAAAAAAGAAAAGAAAGAAAAAGCCAACCCAAAAAACTCTAAACCAACCCAAAACATCAGAATCGGAGTTAGCAGGGAAAGCTCTAACTGACCCTATCAAATTTACCAGTCAGAGTAGATCTGAGCTTGGGCTGTAATAGTGTGACTAAATCAGGATTGGGGCAGAAAATACTATAAAATATATCCCATTTCTCAGCATATATAAGCCATCTGAAAATTAAAATGGAAAACATAGATGAGCAAAGAGCTAGAATCCTTGCATACTACAAACGTAAATCATTATTTTTGTTGCAAAACAAAGCAAAAACAGAATAGGCATTAAGGAGTTAATGAAACAAATCAATGTACTCAGCCAAGATTTGTCGATTAATAATGTAACTGGAATCTACCTCCTATTAATACTTCAACAGTGCAGCAGAGACTCCAAGAAGTTAAAAAAGAGGCAACAAGTCTTTTTTTTTGCTTGACCACTTCATAACATTAACCCAAAATTCAAACTTGTTACCAAAATAACAGATGGGCTCAGTAGGAAACTAACAATCTACCTCTGACTACTGCTTAGCACTACAATAAGACGCTTTGCAACCAGTACACAGCAATTTAAGAGGCTGTATTCAGAAATGACAAAGTCCTTCATCTCAAGTGTCTCTACAGCAGAGATCACATGGATTCAGCTGACTTCTGCTGTTGTCAAAACCTAATAACCTGATAGACACGCCACTGTCTGAGATAAATAATACCTCCTGGAAAAGTGAAGACAGGAAGGCAAGGCTCCTGTTCTGGCTCTGAAAAACACCTCAGGGCATGCTGCATGGAAGAAGATATTCCCTACATTGGCGATAATGAAAAGCATAGCCATTTTCTTCCTCATACAATCACACCTAGGAAAATCCCCCTCACTTTCTGTGACAGGCTTGCAAGTGGTAATTTGTTCAAAAGCCAGGCTGATGCAAATACAGCATTCAGTCCTGCACTCCAGTTGCAGGTGCTTGAGGAAATGTCTTTGGAGAGGAAGCATTAAGGACCGGTTTCTGGATCAAATGAATGGCACCATTGTTTATCTGCTGTTTTGTCACCAGGAGGAAGAGTAGCCCAATAGTGCTAGTCAATTGAGAAGGTACCATCTGCATATGACTACCAAATACTGCAAGTACTGACATACAGTTCAGAGGGGCAAAGCAAAAGGGAAAAACAAGGAAGGTAAATAATAATAAGAAGTCTTACCTGTCTGATTGCTGCAGTAAACCGGAGAGAAAGAAATGTCATCAAGGGCAACATAACCTCCCTTGGCGCTATTGAAAGCAACTTCAAATATTAGCTGGAAATGACAATCTTTTGTTATTCATCTACCATATACACAAAAATAATTTTGGTACATGTCTTTGTATTACAGAATTCTGATCAGATGTCCCAGACAGACTCCAGGACATCTCAGAGAGCACTGACGTAGTGACACAATTAAAATTATATCACTTATCAGGGATATAAATCAGAGCCTGACTCTGGCACTAGATCTTTATGCACTCAAGGTCAAGGAAAAATCAAGGGCATCATAGCTCTTCTGCTGCTTCATGAAGCAACAGTTTTAAAGATGCAGTAAGGCTACTGTCACGACACCATACAAAGCTAGTATTCAGGGTCATCCAGTCTGTAATGACTAGAATTCCAAAGCTGCCCAATTATTACTGTATCTAGAATCTGTCTGGATCATGAGCTAAAACCAGACTGTGTGGATTTTTCTGCTGTTACAATATCAAGTTTTAATGTTTTCTCTAAATGTCCTCAGACACTGAAACCCATGCCTTGGCATGAGCTGGCAGGGAAGATTTGCTTTAAAAAACTTATTTAAGAACCATAAAAGCTAGAAAAGATATCACTGCTACCAAGTCAAACAATGTTTGTACTTAGCCATTCCCAAGGGACATCATTTCCTCAAGTAAGTGGAGGACAGTCCATAATTCTTGAGGAAGTGTCTTAAAATTTCTGAGTTACAGGAAAGCATTCGAAAAGGCCTGAATGTCATGGCAACCCCAGAGACAAAACAAGGATATAGTAATAAATGCTTCCAGAGTGAGATCCTGTTCAGAAAAATGTTTGTGATGTCTTGCCTAGGGATGGGAGCCAAACAAGGAGAGCTGTGAAAGAATCCTCAATGATATCCTTTAGCCTCATGAAACAAAGAGGAAAACCCTCTTGAAGCGACTGAAGAAATTATATGCAAGGTTTAATCTTAACTTCTGTAAAGTGACCTCTAAAATATTGACTGTGTTGGATTACATAAAAATTCCTTGAGCAGAATAAAGGCTCATCTAATCTTGTTTCCAGCAGAGGTCACACACAGGAAGAACTGAACACAATGACAAGTTTTCAGTTCTTCCCTCACGTTGCAGTCCACCTGGACTCTTTCTTTCCCATTAATTTGTCTAATAAGTATTTGAATGCATCAGATTAATGGTATCCATAGCATGCTGTGAAAATGAGTTCTACAGTTATGCAATGTAGGCAAAAATCCTCACTTTAGTTTATTTTAAAACTGTTACCTGATAATTAAGAACTTGGTACAGCAACATAAATTATGAGAAAAAGGGAAGAGTAAATCTTTTCTGTATTATTAATTATTTTTATGAACCTCTACCATATTCTACTAAAGTCATTTTTACAGCCCAAAAACTGTTATTTTATTAATGTAACTTCTCCATACTTTTGATTATCCCTATATTCCTCTTGTAGTTCTAGGATATTCTTTTTTAATTGAGAGAGCTGGAGTTGCCTCTCTGCTGAACTCTGTGCATTCAGTCAGTGGTATGACATCAACTGTTTGCTCTTTATTTCAGTATAGATAGTTTCCAACATTCCAGATGGCTTTATGAATGCTATAGAGGATCAGAGGGTATTTTCACAGAGCTAGCCACAGTAATATCAAGCTCTAACCAATCATTAATTAATTTCCAACTGTAGTGCTAGGACTGTTTTTCCCCTTGCATGTTACTTTATATTTACTCAAGACATAATTCACTTACCATTCAGTATTATGAGACCTTAGCAAATCTAATCTCCTTCCCATATCATTTGGAGTCACTGACTTTACAGGATATAAAAGGACTATTTAACATCTAGTGAAAATTAGCTTTACCCCTAGTAATTTCTGGAAATCTGCAGTCTTACCATGAATTAACAAATAGCTTATGTGGAGTTAAAGCAAGTATAATGAAAGCCAATTTAGTTGTAATCCTAGTTTTGAAAGTATATTTGTTGGGAGAGAGTATGTACGTATAAATCACGTATACATATAGTATATATATTTATAATGTGTAAGTATACATGTGTATAGATAATACATATACACTGTTATTGCAATCTTCTAAGATATTTACATGTGTATTAGATATCAGAATTCGTATTTTACATATATAAAGATACAGTGTATATATGCGTGTATATGTATAGTACCCACAGATTTTTATGCATATATATGTGTAGGTGTATATATATTTATACACATATATCTAAATGTTTATTCCAATCTTCTAAGTTTTGGGGGTTTTTAGTAAACAGAGGAAAGTAAAAAATTAAATTTCTTTCTGATACCCTTGAAATTAATCAGTGTCACTTCAGAAAGCTGACTTTCACATCTAATGACTACTATTAGGGCCCTGGTTACACGACATTATGTAGTAGGAACTGAAAGACCTCGTAGGACTCTACAACCTCCTGAGCTATTCTGTTCAAGCACTTTACCACCTGACTTCATCTACACTGAAAATCAAGCGCCCATATAGAAAGTGATTCCTCCTTGACCCTTATGCAGTGAACAAAGGAAAGAACAGATCACTAGCATCGTTATAACCATCTCTCAGATACTGGGCAGCCACCACCATGTCCCCGATTTAGCCTGAGTCAGCACTGTTGTCTGATGCAACCTGGAAGTTGTAGCTGGACTGTACAGGAATGACTACTTTACCTCCATGGGGTATGGCGCATTGAAGTCAACTTCAGCTAGCGCCCAGTCCGCACTCAGTGCACTGTCTGTTTTCCAGATCTCTTCATAAAAGCCAGTTGTGTCTCTCAAGTAAACGGTAAACACAATGCTACTCTCCTGCTTAAGCTGGTAATAGAAAGACAAGCAGCCAGACATTGGGGCCGTGGTCTTTGGTGAGATTAGCTGGGCCACTTCCTGAAAATGTTTGACGTAAACAGAGTCCACATACATGTAGTGACCTAAAAGTGTAAAAAAACCTTGCTATAAGGACAATCTTTAAAGGACACCACTAACAAGAAGTATCAGGAGATAAGCAGGAACTAGACGTATTTCTACAACCTGGCCAGCAATGGTTGATTCCTCCTATGTACAATCCAAAGTTGTTTGGCTAAGATGCCACTAGCAAAACCAGTCAGTCTCAGCTCTTTCTTAAGTCTTTATTTGAGACATTTATATTACAGAAAGTAATAAACCCTCTGCATTTTGAGAGCCATTCAAAAAGGGAAAAATGTGTTACAACTGAGTAAATTCCCTGCCTCCCAACAGCTCAGTATAGTATTTAGTCTTTTTCCAAGTGCAACTTTTACTGAGGCAGGCCAAGTGAACGAATAAACTATGTGTTTCCTCACATGTTTTACTCAGCAGTTCATTTAATATGTATCAAGGATTTGGCAAATAACCTTTATTTTCTACATTTCACTGCTAGTATAATTCTGCTTGGTCTGCCTAGGTTTTGGCTTCTAATTGTTTCATCTTTATTGAATAGACTGTGTTTTTTTGGTAAAAAGTCCTTAAAAAAGACTTTTGGGAGATGTTAAACAGAAAAATGCGTTACAGGTGAGTAGACTCACTCCCCCTCAACAGCCAATATGACTTGCAGGATTTTCAAAGGGTACAGCTTCCCAGACTTTGATTTTGGGAGAGCTATCTCAATTTAAATGGGACACATCCATGTGCATGGATACACCATGCATTCGTAGTTTTCCTTCTTCTACACCCCCAGAAACACAGCATCAAAGAGTACCAGTTGATGAATGGAAAAATGGTTCTTCACAAGTGTCAAACTGACAGGGTACTTCAACATGGGCACTGCAAACTGTGCCATTAGGTTTGTATCTACACCACTACATTTCTCAAACCTGGAGATGTCACTTCTTGCTTCATTCCAGTGGGAGGAGGGGAAAGGGCTTGCTTGGTTGTGGGTCTCCTCCACCCTGCCCACTGCCACGGGACTGGTGACACTTCAGTGGGACTCGCCTGAGAAGTTCTGGGCTTTGCTTTTGCTCTGTAGCTTTACCACATTTCGTAGCTTAATTCTGATCTCCCTCGCTGATGTACCTTCATAGCACAAGTCTTACAAAAATAACGCTTTTCTGTGACTACTGGCTTCTTGGGCTCTTATCAGTCCATAGTCAGTAGTGTGAAAATAGCATAGTCAGGTTTGGTGTGAAAAACAAACACTGTGGCTACAAGAAAACAGATCCCTCCCATTTGGCAGTGTTTCTTATCACATAAAGTACTTTATTTAATAGGTAGAGCCACTGCCTGCTGTTGAAGTTGTGGTCAATTAAGCTTCCATCAAAATTTTACCAGCATCTAGGTGCTGCAGGGCGGTACTGGGCCGGACTGACACTCTGTACTCAACTCACACAATTGTGAAATAAATAAAAAGGCACAGCGGCATGAGTTAAGGAAAGAGAATCAGCCCTGCTCCTCATGACGCGATTCCTTGAACAAGGATGTCACGTTGTCCTGGATGCATAGAGTGCTGCAGCAGCGAGATCTCCTGACTGTCACCTGCTGTGGTTCTTCATGCAGCACTACATCGAAGGCTAAGATTACCCCTAACCCTTCTCTATGACTACGTAAAATGTTTTCCTTTAAGTCTTTACAGCATTCTGCTTCAAATGGACTGTATTAACAGCACCACATTTGAATGAAAGAAACAAAACACATAAACCATGCAATTTAACTCTAGATTCTTCAAACATGTTTCAATACCTTAGCTTTCCTAGTCAACTTTCCCAAAGCCACTGGAAAGAAAAGCCCTTCCAGATGTACAAAGCAGTGGTACAAGATCTTAAAACTTACTGTGGCCTGTACCCTTAGAATCCACAGAATCCACAGAAAGAGTAGAATCCCCCCACTCCATCCAAAATTTTATCCTTATTTGAGTAGTTCTGAAGCCTAGCAAAGGGCATAGCAACCTCATTATAAAGCTTACAGGAAAGTTTGTGCAAACTTCTTCAAATTCCCCCCATCTTCTTCTAATCACTTTTTACATAAGTCATTCTTACCCTTCACCCTCCATGCCAGGAGAAAAGAAACACTTCACATAATAATTTGAAGCATAAGAGTCTTACGTGGATTACAGACTCAAATTTTCCACTATACTCTGTTCTACATTTGTTGCTTACCCAGTTCACTGTTAAGTGTGTGGTCTTTGGGCAGGATAGACTGAGAATTACGAATGTTTCCTCCACCAACAAACCAGTTGACATTGGGGTTCCAGTGGTTCACAAAGCCACAAAGATGATTTTCTTCAAAGTCACATTCTGCAATTACAGACATCACCAGCTAAGTGCACACATTTTCATTACAGAAATTGGAAGAGAGACTATTGCTAAGCACTGGCCTCACTTTACATATGGCAGGGCAAATGACACCTATATTCATAGAAGTGGACACAGCACTGAACAGCTTATAATAAATGGGAGAAACCTTTGCCAACAAAGTTTTATCAGTAGTAGACAAAATTTTCACCTCCATCCTGTTAGTCTGATCTAACTTTTCACTGTCTGGCAGTATAGGACTGCTGTAACTTAGAACCAAATATACCACTTCATAGTATTAAACAGTGTGAGCAAACTTCCACTTGTAAATCAGGGATGGCTAGAAACAAAGCAGGACTAGTAGCGTTAATGAGACTGCTTTGTTTCTTTCACAGATCCAAAGAATTGTGATAATTTGGTTGGACGCCACCAGAGCTCCCCAGAAATGCAAAGGTCTCCCAGCCTCCTAGACCCTGAACTTCATTAGTGGTTTTTGGCAGATGTCATGAGGAAATAGCAGTAAGTGTAAATATCAACAGAGTTTTCACTCTGCAGCCTTCAGGATGCCACTGTAAGGAAGCACAAGCAGGCAGACAGCAAAAATAATGTCACAGCTGTTATGTCTAATATTTGCAGCAGTCTAGTTTTGTGAAAATGTAACACTTGTTCCTGCGTGAGCAATAAATAGCTTTAGAATGAATTCTTGTACATGAAAGGTCTATATATATCACAGAGATGGGTGAATAAAACCCCGTATTAGTGTGTTCAACCTTAGCTTAAAAAATGTCTCTATCAAGCCATTGCCTTTTTCCTAAACTTAGGCCTTTAATTCAGTTTTAAAACTGCCAACAAGGCACTTGTTTTTTTCCCTATGCAAATACTGAGGGAGCTGAACAGACAGTACTTACCAATACAATATCCAGGAGTTATTTTAATTTCAAAAACTGCTATACTGGCAGATTTCTCTTGTCCCATTTCACCTTCCAGTATAATCTGCACAATACAAACCAAACTGTAAATTCAGAGATTCGGTATTTCCATTATCACCCTGCGCATTTCAATGGGAGAACAAATAAAATATAGTCGGGGGCTCACCATCCCTGAAATCAGGGCAGGTGATTTTGCTGGAAGAGCTTGGCAGAAAGCATTTTAAAGATGGAGTCAGTGCCCTTCCTCGAGGACAGAAGGCCCAATGAAGGACAAGGAGACAAGGCCAAAACATCCCACACTTCACATACGAGTACAGGACTTCAGATTCCTCAGGTGTGGCTATACAGGACACTATCGTGAGAGATGTGATATGATGGGTTTGAGGCAGAAATACTGTCCTCTCAGCTTCTGAATCCTCCCAGAAGTGCATAGAGGACAGGAACAAGTAAGTGCAGCTGCAGACCAGCATGTGGGACATCCTGTATCTGCCACAGGATGCCAGGAGGTTTGCAGGGCTGTCATGAGGTGAGGCATCCTCACTGCATGGCTCAGCTGACTGATTTCCCATGAGATGTGCCACACATTCACTGGGAATGGCACCCACTGCCTGACTCATGCCCGCTCTGCTCACTGATTTTAGGGACAGAGGGATTGACTGGCTTACGTGCTGCCAAGAGTAGAAGCGAAAGACCAGAACAGGGCCCAGGGTGGAAATGTTCTAGAAGCAGTTCGTACACCCCAACACATGCACCAGAAAGCCTGTGGTACCTTCTAAAAGCAGGCTTACCTTGTACTTCTTTGTGCTGTTCATTAAATCTAAGCTAGCTATGAGCCAGCTATCTGAAGGCTCCTTGGCTGACCACAGCAAACGATCAAAGCTCTCTCCTTCCTGCCGCAGGTATAGGTTGAGCCTGGCGGGATCAGGTGAAGCCTCTGAAGTCACTGCTATCTGATAAATCAGCCTGACACAGCTCCACTCCTCAGAGTACAGCTCAGGGCTGGACAGCACTGCTTTCTCACCCTCGTAAGATGTATCCACAGAAATGTAATGTCCTGGGAACAGACACACATCAGAATAATAAATGTCAGAGGCTTTGCTTTTACATCCCTGGACAGAAGTACTTATTCATAAAGGAATGCTTGTGGGGCTAGGTCAGGAGACTGAGACTGCCACTCATTTGTTAAGCAAGTCATTTAACCTTTTGATATCTCACTGTAGCCCCATAAACATCACTCCATGAGTGTGAAGCATTTTTAATTGCAATCCTAAAATGACTGGAAATCCTCACAGAAAGATGTTATATCAGTGTAAAGCAGATTATTAAGTAAGTGTTGCTCTCCAGACCTGGTATCTTTAGACAGGCAATTTGATTGACAAGATAATTTACACAAGCAGGAATATGCTAGAGGGCTATTTAGTTGTTTTACGGATCAAAACTTTTATATTCCATTTTTATAATTTAGATTTTAAAACAACACATAAAAAACACACTGCAGCCAAAAACTCCTAAAGCATTTCTGTTTTCAAAGAAGAAAGCTAGAAGGACACTCTTAAGTACTAAAATTAACATGTCTGCTGATTCGTAAAATGCTAAATGTAAAACTACATTTAAACACATCAGCAGTCTCAATGGAATTATTTTAAAATTACTCTCTGCAGGGATATTTTAGGAGCAGGGCATAAAACATAGCCTTCTTAATAAAAACAAAAGAAAGGATGTGAAGACAAGTGAAAAATGCACAAGGCAGCCAAGAAATGCCAAAGAAACATTTTTCCTTGTAGAAAAAGGAGGCAAAAGTAAATAAATCACAGTGAAACATAAGCCTGGCCCTGGTGACTTTACTAACACACCACCAAGATCAGCAGAGTAAAACACGATCCAGGAGTCACAGAAACCTGGAATGCAATGCATATCGGACAAGTCCCATTGCTGATACTGATTCTCAGCAGCCAGGCTGCACGCAAGAGTCCTCATAGCTGTCAGGGGCCTTGTTGAGCAGAACACCACACTTATCCTTGTTAGACTCCCCAGACCATGTATTTCTTCTTCTTTAGTCTCACTTCTCTTGACCTCAGAGCTTGTCTGTAAACATCTGTGTAACTGGGACACATCAGCAGTCCAACTGATATTAAATATATTGCTTGCCCTTGAGGCACACCCTCCCATCCCAAATCCTGCCTGAACCCTCCAGTTCTATCAAGCCACCCCGAGGTTGCTTCCTAAGAGCTACCCTATTTCCCCTATTGCCTTTTCAAAAGTATTGTCTCCAATGTGAAAAAAATCATCTGCATGGACAGTCACCACACCCCAAGGCAAAGAGCAGATACAGATCTGGTCTACGAGGTTCCCAAAGTCCTCTCTCATGCACCTCCAGGAAGATGCCAGCAGCACCTGACAACACCTCATTCCTTGGGCATTGCATGTTGCAGCATCCCCCTGCATCCACTCCCTCTCTCACCTGCAGACACTGCAGAGCAACCCATTTGTACTGTACATTTTTGTTTAACAGACGTAAGATAAATGATTGCTACTTACTTAGGGAGCAGATGCAGCCCCAAGCAGTATAAGGGGTTGTGTAAATACAGAAAAGCTGCATTTTCTTTCCCTTTTTAGGGAATGGAATCTTTTTTGCCTCTTTGCCTTCTCTTTATATCTGATGTGTCTGGTTTCAGTCTCTTGGAGAAATACACAAAGTCACTGGTTAAGTACGAGCAACTTGTTACTGCAGGAGCATATAAAAGAAAAATAAACACAGGAATAAATGTTTTAAAATAGGCACCTAATGTGCCTGCCAAATAAACTGCCACTACGCAAAATGTGAGTGCATGAAATATCCACTTGCATACAGATATTCAGTTATTTCTCAAGAGTTAGTAGCACACAGAGCATTTATTTGCTGGCATGTGCTAGTCCAAAGATATGCATGTTTTTTTCACATGCACAGAGGATGAAGGGAAATCACCAAGGCTCTACCAGAAGTCGAATTCTTCTTGCACATTTGCTTTTAATTGATAAAAGTGGCAATATCCAGAACAGGTAAAGAATATGTGTTTTCAGTCTGAATTTGGATCATTTTGCTTACAAAGAAACCTACAATTCGGAATCCATGCCTGGCAATTTCATTTTAGGTTTCAGTCCTATTTTTGTCTGCTCTTCATGAGAAAACCCATAGTAAACAGCTTTCATCTAATACTCATCTTTTTTTTTTTTTTTTTATTCCCAGAAATAAATTAGTGTTGACATAGGAAAACACATTCACATGAAGACCTCAAATTACCAGCTATAAGACTTGAATGGCTGCCTGGCTTTAAGACTTGATTATAAGTAGACTAAGGTTCTCCTACAAAAACAGTGATTTAAAAGAAAAAGAAAACCTCTTAAGAGTTTCCAGTTGGGACGATTATGTTACCATAAACTTGCCTCTACGTTTTCTGTCAGCTGTACACTTGCTCTCACTTGGTCTGATTCCCCACTGATATGTGAGCAAGGATTGTGAATTCTCTTCTTAATCAGCAGGGTGAGGGCTGCTTTTATAACAAAGATTAATTTGACCCATTTGTTAAGCCCAGAAATGGAGTGGTCTCACTCCTGACCCGCTAATCATTTTAGCATCTTCTGGAAGTTTAGATGTGTGGTTGGCTCTACTGAAATCAAAGGGAGCACTGATAGAGATCTTCATGTGTAAATTTAAATGCTTTGCTGATCAGGAAGCCTGGCACTCCACAGTATCAAGCACAGAAATGCTAATGTTAAACTTCTTTCAAATGAATGCTGCCATTGACTGAATGGCCTTTATACTGAACTGTATTTCAGTAATAGTAATGACATGTGCCATTGCTGCAGAAAGGAAGGTCTCACAATGCAGACCTCAAGGCCTGACACAGAGCAATTGTGAGAGCAAATCAATGCAAAGAGAAGGCTCCTTGGAGTAAAGAAGCAGACAACTTTCCACACTTGTTTGTGGGAGTAACAGAAGGATATTTAGCAGCCTGTGGAGAAACTGATGAATGCACAGTGCTATAGTCTGAAATCTCTCATCAAAAATGTAACATGTAGCTTCATTTCCAGCAGCCTTCCAGTATCTGAAGGGGGCCTACAAGGGTATTGGAGAGGGACTCTTCATCAGGGTCTGCAGTGGTAGGACAAGGGCTAATGGGCTCAAACCTAAGCGGGAGAGATTTAGATTAGATATTAGGAAGAAGTGCTCTATGGTGAGGGTGGCAAGGCAGAGGAACAGGTTGCTCAGAGAAGCTGTGGATGGCTCATCCCTGGCAGTGTTCAAGACCAGGGATGGCCATGGATGGGAGACTTTGAGCAACCTGGACTAGTGGAAGGTGTCCCTGCCCATGGCAGGGGGGTTGGATAGAGATGATTTTACAGTCCTTTCCAACCCAAACCATTCTATGATTCTATGATTCATTTTGAAGCATGCCCACAATTTTTTTCCCCCAAAATCATCCTCCTCCAAATGCCCATAGCACTTAATGTATAGCCATCATTGAGAAGTTAGCAAAAGAGGGCTTCTCTTCAAAATCACAGGAAAGCAGAGGGGTAGTCACAAAATGCTAGGAAAAGCCTGATGACACAGAATCACAAACATACAATTTCTGGCAATTACATGCTTAGTGGGTAGATGCAGCCCGAAGCAGTATAAGCGGCTGTGCAAATACAGGAAAGCTGTGCTTTGTTTCCATTTTCAGGGAATGTCATAGGGATGGTGGGGTCACCATTATGGTGAAGACAAGCTCCTTCACAGATGACAAAAGCCAGGGATCTTTGTTAACAGCTAGCAGTTCCTTGGTGAATGCAAACACAACCAGAAGAGAGAGGAGAAAGGGAACTCTCAGATATATTTCCCTTACCACTCAGTCACTACTCAGGCTTGGTGCGTAATGCACTTTCTACCCACACCTTTCGATGACTTTTTACCTACTGTGTAACTTCACTCTCTTCTCCCTGACAGTCGAATCAAACTGCACAGGACCAAGCATGTGTTCAATTTACATTCCTCCCTGTCCAGGCAAAATATTGAGCCCAGGGGAGGTTAGGACCCAGTGTTTCCAACCTACCCCTCTGCAATGGAACTATGAACTGCAGCAGTAAGACTCACAAAATGAGACCTTTAAAATCTGTCTGTATGCATGTATCTCATCTTGCTGCTTTAATAAGCAGTTCCGTAGACAGTCTCCCTCAGTTACAGCTGGTGATACATCATGAGTCATCCACCCAAAGTTTCCATATATATATTTTTATTCTTTTTTTAAATTTACTTCCTAAATAGGCATCGATACATCAGTCAGCAGCGATTGTATCAATGGCTTAGGTCAAGGGGGTTGAGACCAGCAATTCTACTTTTTCCCCAGAACAGAGCAGAAATTACACTGATTGCTTTCTCTGTAAGAAACACAAAGACAAAATGCCAGACACTAGCTAATAAACTAAACCAAATTCCACTGACAAATGAAAAAAACCCAACTGGGATAACTAAAATTACCAGTTAGCTTTTAAATGACATATTTCCTCTGTAAAAATTTGGAAGGGTAACCACAGACATGTTAGACCCTTCATGGGGTTTATATCTGACACAGCTGTTCTCTTAGTACAGCTGCGTCAGATATAAAGCTGTAAAGTACAGCTTTATGAGAAAAAACTGCATATGAGCAGTGAGCTACAAGAGAAACAGTATTAAGGAAATATGAAGCAGAAAAAGTTTGGGAATGTACATTTGATTAGGCACTCATTCATACAGAAAAGTTGCAGGAAGTGTCTTAAAGTTGCCAGTCATGTTTGGATTTTCTCTGTACTTCCCATTCAGAAATAGGAAGGAATATTACCAGGGTTTCTTAAGACAAAAGTTAATCTAAACCACCTCTTTGGAATCTCAGTACCTGGATTTTGGGCTGTGGCTTTATTTTGTACAGGCTAAAAAGCAGTAAATTTTTTAGGACCTATTAAGCCTTCTTAAATCTCCAGGAAAAGTTAGGTAAAAATGTTAATGGTACAGTCAGGCATATATAATTTTGCAAGTTAAATTTGCACATGGAGACTATC